ATAACAACAGAAAAAACACTCTTAGCAGACACCGCCGTCTTGCAAACCTCACTGTCATATTGTAATAAGCACGGATAAGAAATGTAAAAAGAAAAAAGAGAAAAAAACTAATGTGTGTGTATATTCTAGGGCATTTTATTTTCCACCAATAAAGGTATTGCCTGCGAAAATGTCACACAAAAGAAAAAGAAAAAGAACTTTCTAGAAGAGCCAAGAAGAAATTTATTCAATTAACTAATTATTTATTTTTATTAATTATTATTGAAAATGATTGGTACTGGTTTAGTGACTGGTACTGCTCAAGGAATAGGACGTGCAATTGCACTTCGTCTTGCTAAAGATGGTCTCAATATTGCTGTTAATGATATACAAACTAGCTCTTCTGATCTCCAAAAAGTTCAACAAGAAATCGAATAAATTGGTCGAAAATCAGTCGCTATAATTGCTGATGTTTCTATAAGTAGATTGGTCGAAAAAATGATGCAAGAGATTGCACAAAAATTAGGAAGTCTAGACGTATGTATTTTTCATTCTTTTCCGATTAATTTAACTTTTCGTCTTTACGATTAATCGTGCAGGCAGTAGTTACAAACGCATGAATTGGTAATGTAAAATCGCTCGTAGATACGACCGTAGGAGATTGGGATAGAATATTTGCAGTAAATATGCGTGGTGTATTTCTTTGTTACAAAGAAGCAGCTAAAATTATGATTAAACAAGGTACAGGAGGAAAAATTATTGGTGCTTGTAGTACTGTTAGACATAAATCACGTGCAATGATCAGTTCTTATTCTACTACAAAATGGAGTGTACGAGGTTTAACACGAGCTGCTGCTATGGAATGGGCTCCATATAATATTACAGTTAATGCTTATTGTCCAGGTATGTTTTATAGTTTTTATATATTAAATCTGAAAAATTTTATTAGGAGTCATTAGCACACCGTTCGTTGACAGATGTAATAAAGAATCGCAAACATTCAAGGAAAAACAACAGAAGATATTATGGAAAATGTTTTAAAAAGTATTCCACTTAATCGTATAGGATATTCAGATGATGTCGCAAATTTGGTTTCATTTCTTGCAAGTAAAAATTCTGACTATATTACTGGACAAAGTATTTTAGATAATGGTGGAATCGATTATTCTTAAATTTTACAATAGATACTACTACTGAACTCTAATAGAGTTTCTGTTTCAAGTAGGGTGTGGATGTGTGGGTATTAACAAAGACAATATCCATGTCCAAATCCACACTCATACTCTTTCTTATTGAATTCTGATTAATATCATTAAAAAGCTTATGAAAATGTCAATATACATAATACAAAGTGAATCCTAACATCGATCAATTTTCTTCGATTCTATTAAAACATTCATTATTTATTCTTGGCTCTAACTCAAATATTATCATCAACAAATGATCCATTGAGAGTCATATGGAAGATGACAATTATTTTATTTCAATTGTTGTTAGAAAATTTTCTTGACAGCTGTTCTTTAGATCAGAGACTGACGAACAAAATACCAAAATATAAGAATTGAATATGAAATAAATCATATTGAAAAAAAAAATACTCTTCAAATCATTTGATGGCTTCTATTACATCAACATTCTCAAATAATGAATTCAGTTTCAGTGAATCAATCCTTGAAAAAATTTTACTTTCGATCGGCACCATGCATTCGAAGCGATGAAGCATTTTTTTTTCTTTTTGATTTGGTTCTCTTTCGCCAGAAAAAAAAGCCATGAGTGTTCTTTGATTTTATTCTGTCGCGTACGTGCAAAAATCGTCATTTCTGACAACATGTCGTTCGTACGAAGTAACAAAACAAAGATTTTATCGAATTGCAAGTAAGAAATTTGTGTGTAGAAATAACTGAATCTATTGAAGTCTTTTATCGTCTGTCACATGAATGAACTATTTTACCTTAACTTAAAATCAAGTTAAGAAATATTACTTATAAACTTTAACATTGATGAAAAGAGATTAACATGCATCGTTTAATTTGTTAATATTAAGTGTTAACAAATCATCTCATACATAATATTAAGTTTCAATTATTGGCATAAAATTATTTTAATAGACAAATTTTGACTTTTTGCTTTACCCCGCTATGGAAAAACTTGAATTTATTATAAAATAATTCGTTTACATTTAATATTAAGAAATGAATTGATATTATGTGTTAAGTAAAACGAATTGATATTTGATTTAATTAAATTTCGTGACAAAAAAATGGTTCATTTCTATTCTATTGGCTAACATCTATGTTGAACTAAAAAAAATACTCAATTGAGTTAACCCGAAAAAAAACTTTTGATTATATGTCAGATCTTGAAAGTAAGTTCCTGAAACTTTTTAACCTTTTTTTGTTTGCCTTGGATTAAAGAGCAAATGTGATGGGTGCTGAGTTCTTGTACATCTTTAATCAGTTTTATCAAATATTCATCCTAATGGGATGGATCTGATACAAGAATGACAGTCTCCATTGACAGAAAGCGTAGAATACCCATTCTCACATATTCATGTTTTGATGACCAAGCCATAATTCTTCTTTTTTTCGACACCCATCTCAAAGTCCTTCATCAACCTCTTCATAGATTTTATCTTCGCAAGATTCTACGATTTTATCGAATACTAGTTGAACCAGTCGACAATTACGTATAGCCAAAATCGAAATTATTGTTTCCGAACAGAAAGGATGTGCGGGTCTGAGTTGGATGTGGCTGTATGTGAGACTGTTGAGAGAACAGAATAAACTTATTGCACATTTTTTTCTAAATATGCCGGTCAGTAATATTTGCTTCTAAATGGTATCGAGTTGAATTACATTATTAGTCAGCTTCATTCTTCCTGTGTATTGACATACATTCTAGCTCGGTCATGAGTCTACGTGAAAATACGAACAAAGCAAATTAGTTAAAAAGAATTATCTATCATCAAGTATAAATGTAGCATTGTTGAGTTGACTTAAATTCTTAGAATTAAGTGCCATTATGAATCTTTGCACTTAATGCTAAACTAGAATGGATGAGAAAAGTTGATATCATTAAGATAAGAGTCGCATAAAATGGTGAAAATTGAAACATGCTATTTTAACATTCCTTGTAAAGTTTTAAGTAAAACTTTAATTCAAAATCAAAATATTTTAAATTTATAATACCACTTCTCATCCAAGTTACAAACTTCTGCCTAGTCTAATCTGCAGTCTAGGCTAATATCTTACAACTCAACTTGGCCTGGTTAACCGGAAGGCGTCTGCAGGGCACCAGACCAAGCTAGCAAGTCTGATGCCCATTATGGCTTCCTTCGGGATAATCTGGTAAAAAAAGTTTCCCAAAAAATGAATAGAAGGTATCAGATCGATTTTTTGATTTCTATCAAATAGGCGTAAACAAAATTACTTTGCTTGAACTATATTCATTTCATTGGTGACATGCTTTGGTTTTTGATGTTTACAGACGATTTTTCTTCATTTATTTTCATTTGATTTGGAAATTCATATATTCTTATTACCTGTAGAGATGATACTAGGTATAGATAATACGGCAAAGATACGAAAGAGATACAGAGAGAACACAGAAGATGCCTAAACGAGCTTTTTTCCATTTGGATTTTTAGTTCCTGATATATTTTCTAGATGCGTTTAACTTCGTTGATCGTTCATCATATCAAAACATTCCAATGATAATATATATGGATGTAACAATTGGTGAATCTGAATATAGCTGATTGTGTATTCTGGGTCATGACAGGTGAAACATTCAATTACATAAATCTTAAGCAAACGATTGAGCGTGTGATAAAGTCGTTTGCTCAATAAAATATATTCAGAACGGAAAAATGAAGTAGGAGTTGCCTTCTTAGCAATTTACGGTGGAGATTTTGGTCTCGAATCATCATATTGCACGAAGGTTATGATTTAGAGAGAGTATTAAGTTCTAAACACGAGATCGAATGTCAGGTAGTGAAGCCACAACTTTAGCTCGAGGCTAGTAGAGCATAGTGTTTTAATATCTTTGTATTTGAAACCATCAATACCAAATGAATTTTGCTTTGACCAAGGGATAATCTTAATCTGAGCCTTACTTCATTTGAACATATTTCGTTGCCTATGAATATTTTGTATAGTCAATAAAATGCTACCTTGACACATTTAACGTCAAACTCAAGATATATTGAATTGACGCTCGAACTGTATCTCTCAGAGAGTACAAAGGTAACCATCAGAAGAAGAAAAGAAGTCCATTGATATTACAGATAATTCAACCTAAACTAAACGAATCAATTCAGGCCACTCTAAAGGCAATAAAAAGAATTGATCTAGACTTGTTGCTGTGATTTATTCGCATCTTTATTGGAGACTATAGAGAACTTGCAAGCAAACCAGAAGAAATTAGTAATCTTTAGTAAAGAAAACATGACTTTACAGAAGAGCTCTGGTGATTAATTTAACAGATGATAATCTTCAGACACAGATCGAATTAAGCAAAATGATTAATTTTCTAAAAAGTGTTTGATTCCGTCGATTTTCATCGATGTTTCATTCAACAGATGTCAAATGAAGATATTATTTTAATTGTATTTGATCAACAGTTAACTCCAGATATACATCTTCTCAAGAAAGTAACCGCTGTTTATATGTATTGTTTGGATATTCGAGAATATGAAGTATGAACTCAAAAGTAAGATGAAAATTTCTGCAAGTTCATAGCATTTTCGGACAATTGTTTTAGATAAAATATTGATTACATTCAGAAGAGTTCAATTAATACTCAAAATTAAAAATGATCAAACGAAAAAATGTAATCGTGATGGAAAACAAGATCTAAATTTGGTTGTTTTCAGTCCGGCAAGCACATGAAGTATAACAACATCAATTGCATCTTCAAGAGAATATTTCTATCGAAATCTTGACAGTGATTTCATGTAGCCTCAAATGATTGTCGAAGTTCTATTACTATCGATTATTGATGAATTGGAAGAGTATTACGATCCACAAGCAACACTCTACTGGTATATACATGATTCATTCTTATATCGAAATTTTAAATTGTGCTTGCCATTGTTAAGATGATTACATAATGGTAATGTTGTCGTTTTTTTATTCATGACATTTATAATCAATTAAAATTGAAACAGAAAAAAAACTTGGTAATAAAGAAACAAGAAGGAAACTAAATGTTGAAAAATATGTATCGATGAATAGGTTTTTTTTTCAACAACAAAATGTCGACAAATACTTGGCAACATCTTTAGAATGATTTATAATTCGTATTCGAATATGTGAAAGACGATTTGCTGAAAGAATTAGATTTTATCGCATTTGATGTTGTTTATTATCAAGTGAGAAATTAATTATTTTGCAGTTGAATTCCCAGAACCTCATAAAAATGTTTAGACATCCTATAGTAACATGGAAATGATTGCTTATAGCGACTATGATGATTATGAAAAAGCTTGTTTAAACTTTTCAAAAGCGCTGACTCTATAAAGAAGCTAAAAATTACAGTTTAACTTTAGTTCATATGAATGAATATTTAGATATTAGGACTCAAGAACTTCCGCTGAATCATCCCAGAATCAGTAATGTATTGTATTATGTATCCGCCACACAAGTAAGCGCAAAGAAGTATGAAATAGCTGTGATTAATTTTCAAAAAAGATTATCTATCCAACTAGCCTTACAGCTTCATCATCCTGGAATCGCCCTTAGATATAACAACCTTGGCCTGCTACTACATGATCGTGATATTTAAAATTATAGAGAAGCTTTCGTAAATTATGAAAATATGTCGTGTCAATTTAACCATTCTGTTCTGGCATCATTACTAACCAACATCGGAATGTTACATTGTTCTATGGAGAATTACAAATTGGCTATGAAATACTTAAATAGAATGCTATCGATTCAATTAGAATCTGCATCGTATCATTCTACATGAATTTGGATTTCAAAATTACACTAAATCAATAATCAATGCTAGAATATTTAGACGATTTCTATTACCACAATAAAGAGTATGATCTGGTTTTGATAACAAATCCCGAAGTGCTGTCCATTCTATTAAATTCTTTAATAAATGAGTATGATACGGTCGCCATCTACATTCACATCGGTGCAGTTTATACTAATGATTTTAGAAAATACATTGAAGTATTAGTTAATTTCGAAAAAACGTTAAATATATATCAAAATTTTACTTTACCAGAAAATATAACTACTACTCACCTTTATATTGAAAGGATTAAGCAAGTTTTTTGGAGAAGGTGTGAGTATAATTTATTTTATCGAAAGATGATAAATAGAATAAACTAGGATTCAGAGAGGGTTCTATCAAGAGTTTATAAATTTTCTTAGTACGATTGTTTCAGATTAATATAAGACGAAAAGGTAGGCCGTAAAGAATAGCCTTATTCACATTTCATATTTATGTCAGCCGGTGCCATTATAAAAACTGGCCTATAGTTTAATAAGATTTTCCACTTAAATGGGCTTTTCATCAATGAATTTAAAAAACATTAATTTTTTTGTCCGGTTCATCATCAAAAATGCTTTTTTTTTCGTGTTTTTGGTAAAAAAAAATCACGAAGATCATGAAATTTTTTTGATTCCATAAACACAATTCTAATTTAAGCTCATTTGTAATGGAAAAACTTGGAAACAGTTATCATTATAAGAGAACCTAAAAAATGAAGCTTCACTCGACACGCCTAAACAGAAGAAAAAAAAATCAGTTTTTCAAAAAGAGGAAACCTATAATTATGTTATTACGCTTTTTACTTTCTATCGATTTCTAAACCTATATAGAAGAAGGAGGAATATAACAACCACAGGTTGGTATACTAAGTAGACTCACCTTGCTAATGCAAATATGAATTGAATTATTAATGTATTTTTTATATTCTTGGCAAGGAAGATCTATAATTTTGTTATGCACTGTATGTGAAAAAATAATCTGCTCTTTTTTTTCTGGTACTTGCCAGCTGCATAAAATTGATGATTCATGAAGGTTTCTCATTGGTTGGATGGTTACTGGAGTTTATTGACTGATTGTCTGACTTTCAATGAAATAATAAATCATTCTATTGCAACAACAAACTTATTATATTATAATTTATCAATGTAAAGCAAGTAAATCCATGACTAACATTTTAATGAATTTTCTGAATAAACTAGAGTTCTTCTCTGCAAATATATGCATGAAAGTTCTCTTGAATTCCAGTAAGTAGATGCTAAACAAATATCAAAGAATAAATATAATCATTTATAAAAAAAAAAAAGATTGTTTTCTTTCTTCAAATTTCATGTATGTTCATTTCAGATTAATCCGTTGTCTTTTAACGTATATATATATGATGGCAGCTGCACCGCGTTCAAATGTTTATAGTGAAAATATAAATAAACGTTTATCAGTTACTATACCAATTCTTGATGTTCAAAGTGGTAATAAATTTCCGGAACCTATGTGTGTTAAATCACATGGAACAATTACTTGTATGCAAAGAAATTTAACAAAAATTTTAAAAAAATGAATTATTTTTGTTTCTTCTATTTTCAAGTTCCTGATAATAAATCTCATCAAGCAAAATTTATTCGTATATTAAAAACTGCATCTGTAACGCATGTTAAAGAATACCTGATTGGAGAATGGTCTGGTGAAGTAGGTTATTTAAATTTCTTTGGAACAGAATTTGTTTTTGTTTTCGTTATTATTTTAGCGCCCATCACTTGTCATATCGATAACCGGTGGTGCAAAAGAATATAATATGAAACCTAGATTATTAAGAGCATTTCGACGTGGCCTTCTTAAAGTTGCTCGAACGACCGGTATTGAAAAATGAAATAGTTTTATAACTTAGTCAGTTCTAGCAACTCAAGAATTTGTTAAAATTTAAATAACAGATCAACCTTGCCGTTTCAAATGAAATTTACATCATAACGATTTGCTTACTCATATAAGTTCAGAATGTCGAAAAATACCATGAGAACAACATGCACACCTTTCTGAGGGTTTCGTGAGTGAAGTTGCATTTTTGAGTTCAGAACTCATGGAATCCGATCATAAATATTTTCAGTCTATGGATTATTACATATGTTAATTGTATGATATGTCGAAACATAATATAAATTTTCATACTATAAAATTCAACACTTATTAATAATAATATAATTATAATCTTTAATTGGCGAAATAGCCAATATTTCAATGACACTTAGTTGATCGAACATTAGTACAATAGTAACATTGACTATTTATTCTTTTACAGCCCGTATATACAGACTGTAAAAGAACAAATAGTCAATACTACTATTGTAGTAATTTTCGATCAAATAACTATCGATGAAATGTCTTTCGATCAACGACTCATTATTAGAGATGTGTGGAACCAGTTTCAGTTCTTATCTCGATTCCGAAGACCGGCACCACTAGAAAAGAAGTGGTCTTGCATATCTCTATTCCCTACTCATTTGATTGATATCAGTCATTTTTTATTCGATTTTAGGTGCATGGATCATTACTGGTGGTATGAATCGAGGTATTATGAAACTTGTTGGTGAAATTATTCAAACAAATCCTGATCGTTCTCGACCAATTCATTTAATTGTAAGTTTCATATAATTAAAGAATTTTAATTTCTTTTATAAACTATAAAATAATACTAGGGTATTGCTACTTGGGGTTGTGTATCCAATTTTCAAAAACTTGATGTACAAGGTTCGATTGTACATTATACTAAACCATCTGGTGAAACAAAAGGACAAGCACCATTGGAACCAAATCATACAAAATTTATTTTTGTTGATGATGGAACGGAAAGAAAATTTGGTGGAGAAATTGCATTTCGTGCTGAACTTGAACAAGCTATTTCTGGTGGATTTTTTGCATCAAAAACTAGAACAAATTCTATTAATCGAAATATAAGTATATCAGAAACTTCATCTTTACGACCAGAACCTTCAGGTTCATATGAAAAATTTTATTTTATTTTATCAATAATAAATTTTCTTTCAATATAGATCCCGTACCTGTTGTTCTTCTTGTTGTTGAAGGTGGTCCAAATACAGTTCGAACAGGTAGAAGAGTTGATTTTATCGAGCAAAAAAAAATATATTAGCATTTATTTCTTTATAGTTCATGAAGCTGTTGTTCAAAATAATATTCCAGCTGTTTTTCTTGAAGGAACAGGTCGTTGTTGTGATTTATTTTCTAAAGCATTCCAACTTTATGAAGAAAATTGTCAAAAATTTGAACATATGGATAAAAAACAAAAACAGTAAATATGAAGAGAGAATTATTAATATCTTTATACTAACTTACAAAAGTTACTATTGTTTCAAAATCTATCTTATAAAAAGTCAACTTTCGTCAGAAAATTAAAATAAAAGCGACCATTTTCATCAATTAAAATCTGTTACTTTGATTCAAAATCCATAGTCGTTGCATTTCTTTCGTTAAAATGTTGCTTGCAATCGATAAATTTGAAGTATGTCAAAAATTAATGTCTGCGTTTTTGAATAATTGTTTAACCCAGTCATATTTCTCGTCTACTTGCGAAGTTCTATGGTGTAAAAATGGTATTAATTAACGAGTAGAAATGATTCGCAGAAAAATGTGCCACTACTGAGCATAGGAGCTTTAAATAACACTTTATCCAATCCTTCACTTTTGATTAAGTATAGTGAATTCATAGGAAGTTTATCATTTTCTGAAAAGAAAAGGGTAATTCTATGGATTTTGTGCAGGATTCCATGGATAATTATTTGAAGGATGTTGATGATGTTGTGAGTTAGAGCACAATTGAACATTGTCTATTAGCGGATTGAAATAGTTCTAAACGATTAAATTGGGAGACTCATCTTCAAACTTTAAGTATCAATAATAGTGAGCTCACTGTATGGTCAAAATAGAAGAAAAATAATACCTCCACACGAGAAATGCAGTGAATTTTTCACGAGTGTAACTCAATTAATACATGGTTTCATAGAGGATATCGTGCTATATAGAATGAGCATTATGGGGTTCTAAAACTTTGAATATTTTCGTTTGTTCTACCTAAGAAACAATCCAACTTCTTACATATTACTTTTATTTTTAGTTCCAGAGTCAAAGCTAATTAAACTCAAAATAAAGCCGGATATTTGCTTTCCAGTACATAAGCAACAACTGTAGTGGTCTATAAATTTTATTGAGGAAACAAATATGTAAAAAAAAAAAAGTTTCGTTTTGGCCCGGGCCATAGAAATATGGTCCATCTCGAGTCCTGGTTCTCTCTATCAGATGAGCATGTTTGAAAAACGTTTTTGATAGAATGCAGAAAACTGGTTTTAGGGTCTTGTTTTTTCAGAGGCCTATCTCCAAAAAACTCGAAAACTATGATGAATTTTATTGAAAATCAATTTTTGTTTTTTTTCTATTATTTTTAGTATTGATCAAAATATTTTATTACAACGTAATAAGGAATTAAAAAATAAACTTCGTGAACAACTTAAAGAAGAACTTCGTAGAATTAGTGGTGCAATTGATGCATCATCTTCGAATACTGATAAAATATTACGTAAAACTGCAACAACTGATAAAACAAAATCTGTTGATGAACCAGATTATTTTGAATTAGTTTATGAATGTATTCATACTCATAAAACTTTTTTAAATATAATCAGTCTTAATGCACGCAATCCAATTGAACCTGATATTGATTTAGTTATTTTACAAGCACTATTAAATGGTTAATAAAAAAAAAACAACAACAACAATTAAAATTTATTTATTATTCATTTTAATATGATTTTTATTTTTATTTTTATTTAGCTACTTCTCGTAGTGATAATAGTAAAACAAATATTCAACAAAAACGTGAACAACTTCATTTAGCATTAGAATGGAATCGTGTTGATATAGCTAAAAATTATATTATAAAGAATGTTCGAGATTGGGAAGTAAGAATAATGAAAGAAATTTCTTTTTTTTTGTTCTATTTTATGTTTTTTATTTTTATTATTAATATTAGAATATTGATTTAAGACAATTATTTTTATTAGCACTTGAACGTAATCAAATAGAATTTATTAAATTATTTCTTGATCATGATTGTTCATTAACGAATATATTTCGAAATAGTTATGAACTTGCTAATCTTTATATGGTTCACAAGAAAGAAGTAAATTGATATTTTTTTTTATTTAAAATATTTAATTAAATTATATTTCTTTTTATTTTTAAATTGAACTATAGCCATATAATTATACTCGAAATTCATTACTATCAATATATACAAAAATAATTCAACCATTAATAGGAGACTTTTTTGATGTCACTGCTGCACTTTCAATGAAAGATTTGCAAACAAATCCTGAATCAATTCATAAAAATAACCATGCAACATGTACTTGTTGTCGACCAAAACAACATCATACTTTTTCAATGAGTGATCGTAGTGATAGTGAACGATTAGACGGTAAATTGTTATAAAAATATATCTTCGAAATATTATGAAAGATAGGTTTTTTTTTGGTTTTCTCAATTAATTGAAATTTCTATCAATGAAGTTGAATTTAAAAGAACTTTCATAGGCAAAATCTTCATTATGCATGTTGAAACGATATTCCTTTTTTTTAAACATGAGTCTGATGGTATTTGAATGTTTTAATATGCCTAAGACATGAATGAATTAAAGAATATTCAATAAGAAATTCTATAAGGATAATTTTATTTCGTAAAACGGGGTGGTCAAAAATCATGAATTTTTTCCCACGCTGGAAATGGTATATAATCAAAGTACTTGATGAGTATAGAATTGTTCCAATGTCAGTTTCTTTAGATCGTGTTCCTTTTGTAGATAAAAATTTTAAGAGAGAGTCTGTCGGAAGACTACTCTACCTTAGTTGTAGGTCGACAGAGAAATATTTTATTTTATTTTTTTTGGATTCTGTTATCTCAAATAAAAGGCATAGTCAACCATAATCAAATCTAAAATATAAGGTCATTTAGTTTTATCTGTGAAGAAACGCGATCGAAAACAAGTATAAAGAGTCTATTTTGATCATAAAAATCGCCATCTTGATGATGTATTAGATATTTCGACATTATCTCAAGAATGGCTTGACCATTTAAACTGAAAGACATCTCATTTGCTAGAGAACAGTACAGACTACAAATTCATCCTATTTGAATCACTAATATATGGACTAAAAAAAACGCTATAGGTCAAAAACTGTCTAAAACTCGAAAAATCCGGTCATCAGGGATAGCGGTATTTTGGACTTTTCTTGAATGAAACTCCATATGTTGGTCATTCAAATAGGATGAATTTGTAGCCTGTACTGTTCTCTAGCAAATGAGACGTCTTTCAGTTTAAATGGTCAAGCTATTCTTGAGATAATGTCGAAATACCGAATACATCATCAAGATGGCGATTTTTATGGTCAAAATAGACTCTTTATACTTGTTTTTGATCGCGTTTCTTCACAGATAAAACTAAATGACCTTATATTTTGGATTTGATTATGGCTGACTATGCCTTTTATTTGAGATAGCAGAATCCAAAAAATAAAATAAAATTTTTCACTGTCGACCTACAACTAAGGTAGAGTAGTCTTCCGACAGACTCTCTCTTAAAATTTTTATCTACAAAAGGTACACGATCTAAAGAAACCGACATCGGAGCAATTCTATACTTATCAAGTACTTTGATTATATACCATTTCCAGCGTGGGGAAAAATCCATGATCTTTGACCACCCCTTTCATTGAAAACTAGCAGGAACTTATGCATACTGCACGACTGTTTCCTCCTTCAACGTATGACCTTAGACATTTAACTTTTCATCCAGTAACAGACATACAGACATCCGATATTATGTATATAGATAGATAGGCCTACGGCCTCATACTCTTATATCACATATTTCTATAATCCAGGTAGCCTTCGCCCTTATATTCCTTGTAGCTGTCGTAGCCTTATCTCCTTATTGTTTTACACCTTATTATCTATCCCTTTACTGCCTTACTCTCTTGAGGGCCTAGCGTGTCCCTATATAATAGTCCTTGAAGACCTATGGTTACCCGCCTAGGATAGCCGTTGACGACCTATGGCTACTCCATATAATAGTCCTTGAGAGTCTATGGAAATCCTAATATAGTAGCCCTTGGACCTTCCGCTTATAGCCTTATTTGACCGTTGACCCGGCACAGACAGACACTGAACATTATATATATATATAGATAATATTAAATAATACCTGATTATTGAAATTCGTTTAATTTAGTAACTTTCACAAGACGCTTTATAGAAGTTGTTAAAAAATATGATTTGAATAACACATTTTCTCTGAAATTTCTGTAATCTTAATATATTATTTATATATTCTAATTATAAGAAAATGTTTTTGTTTTTGTTCTACTTAAAGGATCAATAAGTCTTATGGATATTGATAAAGAACTTTTTCTCTGGTCGGTAATAGCAGATCGACGAGATCTTGCATTACTATTTTGGTCTCGTGCCAAGAATAAAATTAGTGAGTGAAGTATTTCTTTTTTTTTTTGTTTTTAATTACATATACACAAAAATATAGTTTTTAGGTGCTGCATTAATTGCTACATTATTGTATAAAAAACATGCTCGTAATGAGAAAGATAGTAGTTATAAGAAATCGGCTGATGAATTTGAAAATTTAGCTGTACAAATACTTGATAAATTTTATCAAGCAGATTCTCAAACATGTACAAAAGCAATTATACGACGAATTCCAGCTTGGGGCAATGTCACTTGGTTAGATTTAGCTATTGCAGCTGATGCTAAACAATTTATTGCTCGCCGAGCTGTACAAGATCTACTCAATAATATTTGGTTTGTTAGAAATAAACTTTCGAAAAAAAGAAAAAGTAAAAAACGTGAATATTTCACATAGGTTTGGATATATTGATCAACGAACATCTCATAAGAAAATCATTTTTTCTACATTGATGATTTGGTATAGTGGTTTTCTTCTTTATAATAAAGAATTAGTTCAATCAATTGATAAAGCAGTATTTCTTGATGTATGCATGATAAGTAACTTTTATATGTTTACGATAAATGACCTGTGTTTTTTTTGTTTTGATTTCTAGGAGCAAACTAAGAAATTAAATTCCACTGAAAATCAAACGTCAGATAATAAATGGATAGTTTATAAGTATTGAATATAAGATTTTATTTGTTAATAATAATAGTATTTTTATAAAAATTTCTTTTTATCTTTTGAAACGTTCGAAAATGAAAATGGTTAATTTAT